GTTTTATAACTATTTTGCTCTTGTTTTTATCATTGCTTTTTGCTTCAGCTTCTTTGCAGGATATGATTGGAGAAAAGTTTCTTAATCGATATATATATATATAGATTTTAAAATATCATTCGAGAGCACAGTAAGGAGCTGCTTCTATACCGCACTGTCTGAATTTAGTATCCCCGAAAAAACTCATACGGTTACGTACACTGACGTTGGACAACACCAGAAGCGCAGCCCGAATTGGGAATGATCTTTTCGAACCGTTCGGTACCAAACGAGGTTTCAGACAGGACGACTCTCTATAGTGTGATTCCTTAAATTTGATGCTGGAAAAAATAATAAGAGCCGCAAAGCTAAATGGATAAGATACAATCCTTTACAAGAGTGCACAACTTCTGGCTTATGCCGATGATATCCACATTATTGATTTCAACAGCCGCGTCGTTAGTTTTTTTCCCCAAACTTGATATAGAAGCGGAGCGAATGGGTCGAACCAGACCTACGTCAGTGTTGACCGTCATAACTTCCAGGTCGTAGATAATTTCGTTTGCCCAGCGATCAGCAATTGTACCAATAATAATATCAGCTTTAGAATCCAAGGCAGAATCACTCTTTCCTATAAGTGTTGTTTTGAGCTGAGTAAGCAATTGAAAAGTAATGTCCTCTATAAACTGTATGAGTTATAGGATTACATTGACATAGATCGGCGAATGAAGAGAGAGTGGACAGTGGTCATGTTAGGATGAAAACACTCCTGCTTTCAAAGGATTCCATGCAGTACCGACAGGTGAAAGCACTGGAAGAAAAAGGATCAGGTAGAGAGCGAGCAAAAAGAAGAGAAGAATGGCGGGGTGTTGTTGATTTGGAGAAGGAGAAGATTATTATTTTTATGAATCATAGACTTGCGTATCGAAGAACGCCCGTCAACAAACACAAAGAAAGTTCGACGTTGAAAAGCTGCAATCACAACAGACTGCCGAACGATTTTGTACTCGATTTGCACTCCTGCTCTCTGAGAGGACTAATCAGCAACTCGGTACTGTGGGACGGCATTTCAAACTCAAACAGCTGCAAATGAAACTATTGGAATTCGTAAAGGTCGCAAAAACAGCTGGTAGGATGAGGACTGCCGTGTCGCAGTGGAAAGAAAACAGACTGTCTACCTCACAAAAAAAGATGCCGCCAAGGGTAATGCTAATGAAAAGATACGACGACTTACAGAAGGTTTAAGACCAGAGCAGACTCTTGTAGGACAAAAAGAGGTGATCTAGCCACCGATGCCTAGAGTATATTGAATTTATGGAGGGAACACTTCTCCTGCTGAATAGTAGGAAAAATAGAGAATCCTGAGATGGTGAATTCGAAACCGTAATCGATGGCGATGGAAAAACGTTCCACTACTGGACCATGGACCAAACGAGGTTTCAGATAGGGTGATTTTTTGTCGTGTGATTACTTCAATTTGATGCTGGAGAGAATAATAAGAGCTGCAGAGGTGAATGGAGAAGGTACAATCTTCTAGAAGAGTGCACAGCTACTGGCGTACGCCAACAACTGCGCCGTTTGTTCTACCTTCTCCAGGCTTGAAAAAGAAGCGAAGCGAATAAATTTCGCAGAGAATGAGGGCAAGACGAAATATCTCCTGTCATCAAACAAACAGTCATCTTGCAACTCGGCTCCTACGTCACTGTTGATAGTCATAACTTTGAAGTCGTAGATAACTTCGTCTATTTAGGAACCAGTATTAACACCAACAACAATGTCAGCCTGGAAATTCAACGCAGAATCACTCTTGCCAACAGGTGCTACTTTGGACTGAGTAGGCAATTGAAAAGTAAAGTCCTCTCCCGACGAACGAAAACCAAACTCTACAAGTCTCTCACCGTTCCCGTCCTGCTATACGGTGCGGAAGCATGGACAATGACAAATATGATGGGATGGCGTTAGGAGTTTTCGATGAATATCGCAGAAAATAAAACAATGAGCAGTACGAATTATCCGTCGACATTGACATATATATACTGGCTAGGTCATATGGTCCGAATGGCTGCGAATACTCCCGCTTTGAAAATTTTCGATGTAGTACCCGACGGGGGAAGCAGAGGTAGAGAAAGACCTCCACTTCCTTGGAAAGACCAGGTAGAGAAGGAACTGGCTGAACTTGGTATTTCCAATTGGCGCCAAATAGCAAGAAGAAGAAATGAATGGCGCAATGCTGTTAAGTCGACTATAATTGCGTAAGCGGTGTCTACGCCAGTAAAGTAAGTAAGTAAGTAAGTAAGTAAGTAAGTAATATCAAAAAGCGACACATTAATTTTAGAAACTATTTTTTTTCCGACATGTAATATAAGCTCATTATAAAATTCTATCAGCCTTTTAGAGACTTCATAGATAAATTGAACAACTGAAATAACAACGCATATACATAAAAGGAGAAGTTCGTCCGAAAATCAGTTCAACACTTATAAAGCGCCAATTATATACAAATAAATAATATACAATAATTAATTTGAAAATACCGTGTTTTGCCTTTTCATACTTAATCGCACGGCAATACGCATTGCTAGCCACTCGGCTACCGCGACCGCCATTCAACATATGGCATGAAATTTGGCAGCCGCAATAACCAATGGTTAGCATTGCATACTGACATTCGAAAGACCGATCCCTTAATTGGTTTAGCTGGTCGATGTCCTCGCAGCTATGTGCGGGACAAGAATAGAAAATCCATTTCAAAGCAAAGTTTTTTGACACGCCCCGACGAAAGAGAAAGACGATGGGCACAAGGAAGTCTTTCCCGAACACTTGTTGTTATGAGCGCCGCTTCTATCTTAAGAAGCGGAGTGAACATTTGGATTAAACGTTATAAATGTCATAGTAACAATTAATCGGCCTTATGCAGAATATCGTCTAAGTCTTCGCCGACTTCGTCTTTGTTCAGGTTTCTGTATAAGCAATGTAGACGAAGCGTTGTAAATTGAGAAAATGTGGAAACCTTGTGCACGTTAAATTTTCGCTTCTTCACTCTGAATTAGATATCTTTCCACACCTAAAATAGTTAAAATGACGAAACAGGAAACTTTTGCATTTTTTCATGTTTAAATACGTATGTATTAAATATCTTGTACCATCCTTGCCAGCCGGTGCTTTGTCGCATTGATTTTCGTGGCAATAATTTCCCACCTTGGCTTAGTTTCCAATTTTGCTACAAGAATCTCAAATTGAGAGCTTGTCGTCAGCAGCTTTAATTTCTGCATCCTCTGATAAGTTGAAGGATCGTCAGTAAAGAGACGATGAGAAATAACAGAAAACGATGACGGTAACGGCGACGGCGACGGCGACGGTAACGAACTTACCGCAATAGCATCATCTGACGATGCTGTTGACGATGATGATATTCAGCATAAGGCAGAATAAATAGTTTATTTAGTATAATCTGTTAATTAGTATTGAGTAATTGTATAATTTGAAGCGTAGCATTTAAATCAACCCATTTTCTCTTGGCAGAGTTCGTGGCTTACGGACGTTCCCTTAGTGATGTCCGTCTTGATGTTTTTCCAACAAATGGAGAGACTCCCAATTTATTCTAAGCTGCCTTAAGCTTCTCATAAAAAACCATCAGCCGTTCGTTGGCGGCTTAGTATAAGCTGTAGGTCCCTTCATTTTTTGGAAAAACATCAAGACGCAAAACCACAAATCGGAGGAGAAACTCGGCTGAAAATCACTTCAGCGGTTACAAAGCGCCAATTATATATATATATACTGTTGCGAAAATGCGAGGCGAATGTCAGATGAAAGAGAGAAGCCGATAACTAGTACATTCTAGAAACGATAAGACAAGAACCTTCCATAGCGAACAATTCGATGATTCTACGCTTTCGTCTGCGAGCAACCGACTGCTATATAAAGGGACACTCAGCTGCCAAGAAGTTAGTTACAAAGTGAGCTTGTTGGCGTTAACATAGAGTATAGCGGAGTAAAAGCGTTGGAGATTATATTTAAGTAGAGTAAATTGTGAAAGTTGATGCTAGTGATTGTAAATAGTAAAGTGCATTGTAATTGAATCGTGAATTACTTAGTAAATAAAAAACATTATATAAATTCTTTGTATCGAAAGAAACTGTAAATTAAGTTGGCGAGTTTTGTTTAACAATCCAGAGATTGTACCCGAAGGATTCTGAAAATCATCGAGGTTGATTAAGCAAAATCGTAAAAATACATTATTCCGTAGGAGTCGAAATTCCGTGTCAAAGGTTCAAAGATAACATGATACGAAACTCTCACAAATTGCATATAAATGCGTTCCTCGATTATATTTTATGGGCTGGTAACATAGCTAAATGAAGGAGCTCTGAACAGCTGATCGATAAGACGCTTCTGTATCAGTTAGTCAATAATAAACGCGCCGTATTTCGTTAGAAAAGCATTTTTATCAATAAATTTTCGCTAAACAGACCAAATTTGTATGTTCAAATTAAGGAAAAGTATTAAATATATTTGTTGAAGCAAAATATAGCTTAAATGGTCAAAAATAACAATTTTCACAAGTTTTTGTTAGCACAAAAAAGCCAAAAAAGGAAACTTTTTCATCGAAGTGGCACTGTTGAAAAGTGTTATAAAAAATTTGGACTTTGAGAGCGCTCTCACGAGGGTGACAGCAATAAGAAACGCTATGAGTATTTATCGCCGACTTTTAAATGGAAGAATTACAGCGAATTATGAATGTTATCTAATTAGGGTACACTTCGATTTACTATCATAAATACTGGAAATGCTGACAGCATTTGAGAGCATCTCGAAGAATTTTGGTATACTTCTAGTTTGTAGCATAGTTGATTTTTATTAATGCATATTTCTCTTCTAACTTACTTTAAGCCCTCAGACCGGCATTTTGGTATTTGGAAGGATTTAAAAAATTGATAAATTTAAAATACTATGTGCATACTTGCATAAAAAGATGTATATAAGATTATTCAATAAAAAAAACTACTGTATTAAACACTTACCATTTTCAATAGTTTCCTTGGCACAGGATATTATTTTACCCTTACGCCTCCGTAAGTTGGATTCGAAGTTGGTATCATCAGTAAAATCATCACCAGCATCCAAGCCGGCATCCTCTGCTGTCGATTCATGTACATCTTCTGACGATTGTCGTTCAGAGGACATATCGCCGCCACCACCACTTTGTAATAAGTTTTCAACACTTTTGTTCATAGTCTTCAAATATGACGTGCAAATACCAATTTATTTCAGTATATTCTTAATCAATATATAATTGTATAATAAAGTGCTCAAATAATAACAAAAGTTTTCAAATTGTATATGATACACAGTAGGCTTTAAATCATATCACACAATATTTAAGACATTTTAATTTCTTCATAATTCCTTAAATAATTTTATGAATCTATACCGGCGGCAGACAAACTAATTTAATTGCGCTTCTGGACTGCTCGGTATGATTCTTGGATGTGTTAGGACAAAAGCTTAAAATCGAAGTCTTTGTTAGATAGGAAAAATAATAAAATCATTAAATTATGCAAATTTTTTGTGAAATTAAAATTATTTCCCAAATATGTACGAGTTGTGTTCAAGAAATATGGCGAAATTTGTGTTTTTTCAAAAATTATTTCTTTATTCATGAATATTTATTTTGTCCCTTTCAAAGTAATCCCCATGAGATATTATACACTCGTGCCAACGGTTTTTCCAATCTTCGAAGCACTTCAAAAAATCATTTTTTTTATCTTGTTCAGCTCCTCCTTCGATGCCGTCTTTATCTCGTAAATCGTAGCGTATCGTTGTCCTTTCATGAGCCTTTTCAGTTTAAGGAGCAAGAAAAAGTCACAGTGGGCCAGATCTGGGGAATACAGTGGCTGCGGCATCATTAGTGTGTTGTTTTTGGCCAAAAAGTCGCGCACAAGCAACGATGTGTGAGCAGAGGCGTTATCGTGGTGCAAAAGCCAATTTTCGCCGTTTCTGGCGGATTACTTCGCGCGAATTGCGCATAACTTGCAGGTAATATTCCTTATTGACCGTTCTACCCTGTGGCAAGAACTCATGATGCACCGCCCCTGCAATTAATTTGTTCGTCTGTTGTTGAAGTGCTCAGGCGTCCGGCATGCTCTTCGTCGCTCACATCTTCTCGGCCTTCTGAGATAAACGTTGCTTCGGTCCAAGGTAGCTTCTCCGTATGCCACAGTCAACATTCGGAATGCATCCGCGCACTTAATTTCTTTTTTCACACAACATTTGATATCGGTTCTTTGATCCATTTTTTTGAATAGGTAAAAATCGAGGACCATCCAAATCACGTGCAAACAAAGCAGCTGTCAACAATTAAGTGAACATTCAAAATTTCCGAGCTTGTCGGCATAAGCGACAGACACGAGTACCAACATAACGCCACAAAAAAATCGAAATTCGATTATACGTAACCCGCGAAAATTCAAAAATTCGCAATACTTTTTAAACACACCTCGTATGTACATATGTAGTATGTAGTGTTGTATATACATATGTATATATATATGTACATATTTGCATTGCGAGTTTCGTCTACCTAAATAATAACACTTTTATCTATACTCATTGTATTGCTTAGGTTTTTTTAAAGTAACATGTTAAGGTTACAACTATTTGCTTTGAAAAACACTTAGGGGTAGGAATTGTTGTTCATGGTGGTCATAGATTGCTTGTTCTTCCTTCCATTTCACGAAATTGCACAAATAAAATACATGAACAATCGGTGTTGACTTTTCGAACAATCGATTACAAATTATATGTACATACATAAGTAATACTGGTTATGCCTACCTCGGAAAATTCCTAAGCTCAAAAACTATAACTCAGTTACCAACACATCTTTAGCATGGAATGCGGAACATTTTCAACCTTCAGCAATGTAAATACAATATATGCAGTGGAGAGGAAGTAGCATCGCCCGGTGACCCGCAATTAGAAAAACTAATTTGGTATAATTTTGGATTTTGGTCTATTCGGTAATATCGGCCGCCGGATACTAGCAGCATAGCAATCTTCGTCAATCTGTTGATCCGTGGCGTTGCTATTTCGTTTAATATGAAAAATAAACTTAAAGATATGACTTTGCTTCGCTTCGGCGCCATATTATCAGAACGAAATAAAAATATTAATTGTTTTCGTTAGCAATAAGATCGTTATCTGATTCTTATCCACTCATCTCTTCTGTCCTATTCTGACCTATTGAATTTAAACATAAACGACCCAATACTGCGGCAGTAACAGAAGAGAGAAAGTCAACAAGTCAAAAGAATCTAACGTAAAAGAAATGTGTCAACGTGAAGCGAAAGCTAACAACGCACAATGGGATAAAAGTGCTCTAAACACGCGTATTAGAGAAAAAATTAAACTAGTAGGCAGTACATTTTTTGTTAATTTTTTTTATTTAACATACATTAGCCCATTAGAAAAGCTTTATATGTAAAATTGGCGCTTTGTAACCAGGCCCAGCTACTCCTCCAATTTGTGGTTTTGCGTCTTGATGTTTTTCCAACAAATGGAGGGACCTACAGTTTATACTAAGCCGCCTCCGAACGGCTGATGGACTTTTTATGAGGAGCTTTATTTCATGTCTGAAATATATGCCGAGGGGCGACCGAAATTAGAAAATTTAACTTAATTTTTTATTTAAATTAACTTTCCATAACTTTTGGATGTTGGTGGCACCGGGATATGAACCCGAGCTTTCCGAATGTCAGAACGTACTGCTAACCACTCGGCTACCGCGACCGAGAAGCTTTACCGCTATAAAATCAAGCAACGCAATCCACTCAAAATTGGGCAATCTGGAGTTGAATTTTTTGTGTTTGAAAGTTGTTTAATTGGTGTCTGTATAAAATTGACTATAGAGAATACATTTGTCAATTAAATGGATCTATATTTGGCACGTAACATCTAAACATTAATGCAATTAATCCTTAGTCAACATTTTGTTCAAGCATTTTTTAGTTTAGAAAATCTAAGCACTCGAATTACTTACAACAAATTTTAACTTTTTTTTTGATAAATTAAAAAATTTCTTTGGATCGTATCTTTTTTTACTCATCGCAAATCAAGGAAATACTTCATATCCATAAGGTATGAGCTTTTATAAAGCCAAGTGTCAAACTTATTTGCAATCTTCTGCATTATATTGCAATATTTCCATTTGAATTTAGGTCTTCAGACCAATTAGTTCTAAATTGAAACATTTTGTGCTTTGGAACTGATGACGCTTTTTTTGGTCGAGTTCCTCCTCCAATTTGTGGTCTGCGTCTTGATGTTTTGCCAACAGATACACATGACTAGCTTTTCATGTCAGAAATAAAATCGGAGGGCCACAATTATAAACAGTTTTATTGGATGTTGGTCGGACTAGGACTGGAACCCTATACACAATGCTAACCACTTTGCCATTGTTTTATATATAGGCAGTCTCTAAGCCTTTTATAAACATATACAATTTTATGTGCGTGCTTTTTATGATATGAACCTAAAATACGATATCTGAAAAATCGGTAAATATATATGTAATAAAGTTTTCCGATTTTGTTGGTTTTCAGTGTAATTACTTATTTAAAGTAATTAATATTGAATGTCAAGCGTCTTCCGTATGTTTTGGCGAATTTATAACCCAAAATCTAAAGTAAGGCTAATAATATATAAGTAACAAATGATCAATACAATATAGGTAAATATACCTCTGTATATAAAACTAACGGAGTAGTTTGCGTCCAAACAGACGGAAAGACAAGCAGACGGACAGCCGGTATAAATATTGATAGATGTTCTTTTCCTTCCTATTAAAATAAAAAGCATACAGTGTGGAGAATTTAATCGCTAAATTTTACTAAAAAATAAAATAAATTCTTATTCATTTCACAAAATTTCCACGGAAAAATGTTCTTTATTCGCAAAATTTAAGTTACCATAATATATAATATTTTGTATGAATAATAAGAAAATATCCTTAATCAGCTGAAAAATGTTTGATAACTACATTTACTTTTGAAAAAGAATACAGTAGGGTGCCAGTCCCAGTCAATTTCTAATCAATTGTCCAAAATAGAAGAAAATCTCATCGATAGAAGCTACAGTACAAAATAAGCAGAGTTCGAGTCCTGTTTAGATTAAAATCCAAAATATTTTCTAATTGCGGTCGCTCCTCGGCAGGGATATACAAGCCACCGAGAGTATATCTGTGTTCGGAGGCAACTAAGAATATGCCGTAAGTCCCTCCATTTGCTGGAAAAATATCAAAGCACGTAGCCAAAATTGTAGCAGATGCTCGGCAGAAAATGATCTCAGTGGTGTTAAAGTGCCAATTATTATTATTAATAAGTACCTAAATATGTGTACTGTAATATTGTGTTGAAATGTGTGCAAAAATTTTTTTTTTTTTGCAATCTAACTCTTGGTTTTATTTATTCATTTTATTACAAAAAAAATTAGATCCTTATATTATATGAAAATGGTTGATTTATTAGATACAGAATTAGTCAATAGTCATTTGTAACTTTATGTTTTTTAACATCACTAATGGAAATTAATCTATAGAAGTTTAAAAATAAAAAAAAAAATGTTAAGTTTAAAAATAAAAAAAAAATGTTAAGTGTCCGTTCACTGAGATAGCCTTCTTATATAATAAAAGCAAAAAAAAAAAAGATAGATGCACTTACATATATGTAACTATTTCGAAAGGAAAAGAGAAACTGACGGAAAATCGTTTTCTATATTCTAATCACAGTACTTATTTTATGCGCATTCAAAATTAACTCTTACTTTAACATGAAGAAGGCACTTTATTATGATGGTAGACAAAGTTACGATTTGTCATTAAAAATTTAATGGCAGTAAGTAAGTATTGCCCCCATGATGCAGAACGAAATATTTTGTCAGCTTAAGCAACTAAACAGAACCAATGAGTCAGAATGCTTCGCCATATAGTTTCCAATAAGTAAACGTCCTACATCTGATTGCGGCAGTTTAGAGCAATTAGCCGAGTATATAAACAAGTCTTAATTTGAATGCAAAATAGAATAATACGATGGAGTTTTTGGTAGAAGAGGCATGAAAGGAAAATATTAGACTTAAAAAATATGATGTTTTTATTTACGCAATTATCACTACTTCGTACACACATATGTATGCACGTGTGAGCGTGGTGTGCTCTTATGTACATATATATAACTTGAATGCTAGCAATTGATATGTTTACCTCAACCCATTCCGGGCGTAATTAGTGGAGCGACACCGAGTTCGTGTAATTATATCATACAAAAAGAGATGCAACATTTTTTTTAGCAATATATTATATAATATATATACATGTATGTACATATTGTGATATATTTTAAAACCTGTAAATGGAACAATTAAATTCACATTTCCAAAGTTGTTGGAAGAAAAATATCTAATCACTTAACCATAGACTACACATATCCACGTAAAACTTTCATGTCTATGGTAATCTCGAAAAAATATCCAACTACTTCTCCTTAACCTTACCCCCTTCGAAGAAGTAGAACTTATTTCATAACACTTTTAAAGCCAACGCAGACGTTAGAAGCACAGTAAAAACAAACTGGGAAAAGGGTAGTAGCACAATTTTCGCAACCGTAAAAGCAGAAAGTATTTCTTTTGAGATTTTCGTATATATAAATCACATTTTACAGTTTTAGAAATATGTAATAATTTTTTCCTTTTTAACTATTTACAATTATTTTGTACGAAAATGTGTGTATAAAGCAACCGTTTACCATAAAATCCCGTCAAATACTATTTGAAACTCACCCACCAAACATGGTGTGGCAAGTGAACTCGTTGTGGTGAAATTCCGTGCTGAATTGGGTAAACGAATATTGATTTTTTTATTTGACACAACCGTCACCCACACACATGTGCATGCATGTGAGGTGGTTGGCATTTAAATCCTTATTGGAGATTGTAAACAATCTATGTTGTTCGTATTTGCCGGTCATTCATCCATCTTTGGGGTGCAATTTGTTGATGTTGTCATGTTGTATTCTCTAGTACTTCTTGTTGACATTTAACGCCAATTGCTCTGTATGCTATGGTGCTACTGTGTTACCAATTGTTACTCAGTAGCTTTCTTTTGGATAAAAAACTTACAATGAAATGAAATTTTGCTTTTGTTACTTTTATTTTCGAGGGTATGTTTGAAATTCGCGCAGGTAAAATTTCAGGCAGTAAGAATTAATATAATAATAATAATAATAAATATATTTCATATTATCTACATATATAAATTTAAAAAAAAAATTATAAATAAATAATATATTAGGTCAATTAAAAGGTTCGTCCGGTTTTTTTTTATTGATTTTTCAAAATATGATAACTTTGTGTACACTAGTTCGATTTAAGTCAAATATGTGCCGTTTTATTCGTAAACTTGTTGCCAACATAATGCCAACATATTACACCTTCTACACTTCTCTTAGAAGGCTGCGTCCTTATTGGCAAAAAACTCAGAAGGACAATTTTTACAGGCCTCTCTTCAGGCTCACCATTAAGCGCGTTCGCGATGGATAGGAAAAGATGGTAATCACTTGGTGCCAGGTCCGGACTATAAGGTAGGTGCATTCGGACCCCCCATCCCAGCTCCTGGAGCTTCTGGCGCGTCACTAAAGACGTGTGTGGCCTGGCGTTGTCTTGAAGGGAACACAATTCGGACTCTGTTAATCAAAGATGGCCTCTTCTGGATGAGTACTGCCTTCAAGCGGTCCAGTTGTTGGCAGTAAAGGGCCGAATTGAACGTTTGACCATAGGGGAGCAGCGGGTAGTAGATGATTCCTTGCCAATTCAACCAAACTTACAGCAAAACCTTCCTGGCCGTCAACCCGGTCTTGGCCACTGTCTGGGCCGCTTCCCCGAGCTTTTACCACGACCGTTTGCGCTCGATGTTGTCGTAAGTGACCCGCCAGTCACAATCCGCTTCAGAAACGGGTCGATTTTGTAGCGCATCAGCAGCGATTCGCAGACGGAAATTCGGTCCATCATGATTCTAAACGGATTTCTGGCTTATCATTAGTCCCTCAGCAATTAAATAAGTTTTCACGTGACGATCTGTTTCTGTGTTGGAAAAAGTCATGATTTCATCGCAATTTCCGCTACACGTTCGTTTACAGTATCGGGCCCATAAACTAAATTAATTTTTTTCAGCCGCTTTGGCTGCTTTTTCTCCTTGATCGAATAAAAATTGTAAAATAGAGCGATTTTTTTCTTTGCTGGTGCCCATCTTTGACGAACGCTCACAATGTACTGAGTCAATCAAATGAAAAACTGTCAAAGCCAAACTTTTAGCGCGAATGAACTAAGGACAATAACTCCATCTCCAATATATACATATATACACAAATTTTACGTTCGTTTGTAAATATCGGCGAGATATGAGAAAATACCAACCGATTGGCTTGAAATTTTGTCAGAAGCTTGAATAAAAAAGTTTTCGAGAGGTAGTCCATTTGAAAGTTATCGACGCAGTACCCGCCGGTAGAGGCAAAGGAAAAGGAAAACCTCCGCTTTATTGAAAAGGCCAGATAGAGAAGGACCTGTATTTGGTATTTTCAATTGGCGTCAAACAGCGAAAAGAAGAAATGAATTTCGCAATGTTATATACGAAGAAGAAGACAAGAGAAAAGGGAGTATTTATAGTCTTTTTACTATAATTTATTTTTTACGGGAAGTGGATTGATCTTTTTGAAAATCTATACATTTTTTAATGGTTCTTTAGTTATATTTCGATTTACTCGTTGTGGTACCACCGACAGATTAACTAAAATTAGTATGATTTGGATATAAGCATAGGTATAATCGCATCGAATTTGTATTATTTATTATGCGGCTGTAAGTCATAAGCTGTTATTATATTTATATACTCGTACATATATATGTACGTTCAACTTGAATGCAACTAAGCATTGATCATAATGGTGCGTTTGGCTTACTTTGAGAGAGCGAAAAAGCGACTCACATATACAAATACAATAAGTAGTTAATACAATAATAATATAGAATATTTTTTTTTTTACTTAGATTATGTTTATTTATGATTCTTTATCATTCATTGCAATACCAATTGGAATAAAAATTGGGCAAAATACAGAATTTGTTTTTAAATAAAAGGGACTTACCAATTTACACCAAGTCCAAGTCTTGATGCATTTTTTGTGCAGTTTTTCATTTCATATTGGAAAACTAGTCTAAATAAAAAATCAAGTTAAATTTTCCAATTGCGGCCACCTCTCGGAAAGGAATGTCAACCCCTCCGAGTGTATTTTAGCCATCAGCCGTTCGGAGAAGCCTTAGTATAATCTGTGAAACACAAATTGGAGAAGGATATCGGACGAAAACCGCTTCAGCCCTTACAAAGCGCCAATTATAACAATATATCTTTATTTCATGTCAAAAATATTTATTAATTTATTTATTTAGACTATGCACAATAACAATAGTTGCTTACAGTCTATTTGAATAATTAATAACAAAGTAGTTAACAACTAAAAATAACTAAGAAATTAAAACGCCATATATATAATACGTGTATGTGAAAATACACTCTTAAGGTATATTAAAATTTGTTCTATGAGAGTGGAGTGAATGTCAATTCTTATGATTTGTTTTGCAAAAAAAACGAGATAATGATTTCGTTATTTTATTTACTTACTTACTTTACTGGCGCAGACACCGCTCACGCGATTTTGGCCGATTTAACCATTCGCCATTCGTTCCTTTATGTGCTGTTTGGCGCCAATTCGAAATACTAAGTACAGTCACGTCCTTCTCTAACTGGTCTTTCCAACGGAGTGAAGGTCTTCCTCTTCCTCTGCTTTCATCGCATCGAAAACTTTCGAAGCTGGAGTATTCCTATCCATCCGGACCACATGACCTAGCCAGCGTAGCCGCTGCTTCTTGATTCGCTGAACTATATAAATGTTGACGTATAACTCGTACAGCTCATCGTTCCATCGTCTGCGATGTTCGCCGTTGCCAATGCCCAAAGGACCATAAATCTTACGCAAAACCTTTTTCTCGAAAACTTCTAATGCCGACTCATCAGATAATGTCATCCCCCATGCTTCCGCACCATATATGAGGAACTTGTAGAGTTTAGTTTTCATTCGCCGAGAGAGGACTTTACTTTTCAATTGCCTACTGAGACCAAAGTAGCACCTGTTGGCAAGCGTAATTCTGCTTTGGATTTCAAGGCTGACATTATTGTTGGTGTTGATGCTGGTTCCTAGGTAGACGAAATTATCTACGTCTTCAAAATTATGACTGCCAACGTGACGTGGGAGCCAAATCGCGAATGCGATGACAGTTTATTTGATGACAGGAGATATTTCGTCTTGTCCTCGTTCACTAGCCTGGAGAAAGTAAAACTAACTGCGCGGCTGTTGGGGCCGATAATGTCAATATCATCTGCGTACGCCAGTAGTTGTACACTCTTATATAAGATTGTACCCTTTCTATTCAGCTCCGCAGCTCTTATTATTCTCTCCAGCATCAAATTGAAGAAATCACACGTCAAGGAGTCACCCTGCCTGAAACCTCGTTTGGTATCGAACGGCTCGGAGAGGGCCTTCCCAATTCTGACTGCGCTTCAGGTTTTGTCTAGCGTCATCTTACGCAGCCGTATAAGTTCTGCGGGGATACTAAATTCAGACATAGTGACGTAAAGGCAGCTCCTATTCGTGCTGTCGAAGGCGGCTTTAAAATCGACGAAGAGGTGGTGTCTGTCGATCCTCTTTTCACGAGTCTTTTCCTATGTACGCACGTCAAGAACACTGGAGACATGTCTGCTGTATATCACAAGGATAGAGGAAGGATACCAAAGATACCTTCTTTTCCTACCCTGGCATTAAAGTCGCCAAGCACGATTATCACGTCGTGTCGTGGGCAGCGCTCTTAAATATGCTCTAGGCGCTCATAAAAGGCATCTTTGGCCAAATCGTCTTTCTCTACCGTAAGGGCGTGGGCGCAAATCAGTGATATGTTGAAAAATTTCGCTTTGATGCGGATTGTACTCGACGACGGAGTCTCTCTCCCACCACAAATCCAACACTAAATTTGCGCTTCTTTATATGGCCGCTGTAGTAAATGTCACAAGAACTTACTCTGGATCGCACTTCTTGGATGGCGGTGATGTCAGCCTTTATTCTTACGAGGGCATCAACCAGCTGGGCAGCGGCACCATCCTTAATTCGTTTGCGGGCGTCGTCAACAGAAAGAGATATCTCATCCGAGGCATTGCTACATTTTTCATTGGAGCTGGTTTCTACGTGGCATAAAATTAAAGTTTTGTTTTACACATTTATATAGCGAGCCGCTTGCTTCACGACCGACGCCCGCTCGCAGCCGCACATCTGGTGAACGGACACCAAACTGAATAAGTCGGAGTGGCCCCACTGAAGCTTCCTCTCTAATTTGCCGTGACCCGAGGCTCCACACGGATTGGTTACCGCATCTTGCACAAGGGTTGCTCACGTTTCCAGGGTGCGCAACGTGGACGCAAAAGTAGAAATTGAGAATAGCCTCGCAACTGTAACAGCATACCCAGAAGCTTGGCCACACTCCATTATCCAAAATGTATACTAAGCACCTAGGATACTATATTAAGGAATATGCAATAAATCAGAAGAGAAACCATCAATTGTGGCAACACAAGTTCATTGAGATAAATGAGATTTGATTTAATCAAAAAGATAATTGAATGAAATCGCAAACATCCATCTTATAGTAA